GAGTTAATTATGTCCTTCATCATAAGTAGGAAATGTTTTGTAGAATTTGGAAATGAGTACCCTGATCTTCGGAATATTAACGCTGGCGTCCCAGAAAGGTCAATCGTTGGCCCCATCCTTTATTTATTCTTCGTTGTAAATTTTCCCAAGCTTTATTTAAATAATAATAAATTTTTAGAATGTTACGCCAACGACACATTCTTAGCTGTGAAATCTGCAAATGCCAATCACGCTGTAAAGAAACTGCAAAATTTTATTCCTTCGATTAAAGAATGATGGACCATGCGGGGTATCTTCATTAATGCTCACAAATCACAACTTTTAATAATTCGTAGAGAACGGGTAAACACGCCTATTAGCAGAAAACTTTGCCTCTTTAACGTCGCGATACCTCAAGTCAGCAAATCTGAATATCTAAAAATCACAGTAAATGAAAAATATAAACTGGAATGATCACATCAATAAATTTTTTATGAGTTCGACTCTTGATTTTAAATAAAAGAAATATTTTAAAATTTTTCTTAAATTTTTAAATCAAGAAAGTTACCTCCATGCACAGAGATAAAAAAAAGGATAAATTTTTCAAATTCAGTTTAGCTCTGAGTATGTATGAATTTATGTAGTGATTTATGTATCTAAGCGCCTCTCCACTTGGAAAACAAAGAACCTTGTCTCATTTGAAAACAGTGAAAAATTTGTTTAATACACAGATCGTATTTTATTCTCGAGTGTCAAGATGTAGAAACATCTCTTTATTTGACTTAAGATACTCGACTTTTTACTCGACTCGATGATAAGGATCGGGTGGGGGGAGAAAGAGTATGGTGAAAGGAGTGTGGGAGGCGGATGAAAGAGAGTGAGGTCCGCACTAGCGGCGGCGAAAAAAGGGGGTGGATGTCAAGTTCAGTGCATTTATAAGATGTAGCCGCGGGTGGTAAAACCGCAGAGTCAGTTTAGCGTGAATGAGTCAATTAAGGTTGTGATTCTTATGTGGGAAGGATGTCACATGGGTAACGATGTTTTTCTCTGGGATGTGGGGAGTGTCTGAGAGTGCTAATAAAGCTATTACTGTGGGTTTGTACTGAATAAAAGAAGTTGACCGCTAATCGTTTAATATACTCTTGAATACGTTCGATTTCGAAAGGTTCTCTGTGAATATAGGATGTTTGGGAATATACCAAGGAGCATTGATAATTTCTCGTAGAATTTTATTTTGTAGAATTTGTAATTGTTTAATATTGGTTTTAGCTGCATGTCCCCAGATCGGATGCTGCATAAAGGATGAGCTGGGCGCAGTATGGAGCGATATAGAATTAATTTGTTTGTATTAGATAAGTTGCTTTTCTACCAAGAAGAGGTCGCATAGTAAGCTGTGGTGATTTTAAATTTTTGTACTACGGACCGGAAATGGGTTCTGAAGGTAAGTTTTTGGTCAGGGGTGACTCCAAGGTATTTGGTTTCATTAATCCAGTCTATTTCTTCGTCAAATATTTCAGGGGGTGGTGGATAGTATTTCATGTTTCCTTTACGGAAAATTATTGGCTTAGTTTTATCAGTGTTAATTTTAAACCTCCAAAGGGTAAGCCATTTTTCCAGTTTTATGAGATAGCTTTGGAGTTGGTTTCTTACGGCGATAACTGTGCAGGCTTTAGTAACTATGGCGGTGTCATCGGCAAAGAGTGCAAGATGAACAGAAGGGTCTTTAGGGATGTCTTGTGTATAAATATTAAAAAAAACGGCGAAAGTGACGACCCCTGTGGGACACCAGCATTGATTACTCTAGTTGGTATAGTAAGCAGTTACCGATTTTGATTCTGAATATTCTGTTGCTGAGAAAAGAGGCTACTTAAGCGAATAAAATGGTCTGGAAAATTGAGAGTGATTAAGTTTGTAAATAAGGCCTCGACGCCATACCCCTGTCAAAAGCTTCGCGATATCGAGGAAATATAGCACCGGTCGGAAGCTTGCAGTTGCAGCCTTCAGTGATAATGTTGATAACTCTTAAGAAGTTGGTGGCAAGTGCTATGATGATTACGAAAACCGAATTGTTCTTCTGGGAGAAAATTCCATGGGAAGGGGTGAATTTTTGGATGTGGAAAAGTAGGATTTTCTCAGTAACTTTAGACAGATGGCTAAGTAAACTGATAGGGCGATAGTTCTGTGGGAGAGGTTGGGATTTTGTTGCGGTTTAGCAAAAACAATTATTATAGCTTGCTTCCATGACTTAGGAAAATGAGCGAATTTGATAATGTTGTTGATTATCTTAGTTAGGGACAGGTAAGAGTGTTGATCGGAAGATGCTTCAGTGCTTTGATCGAGATGCCATCGTGCCCTGGGGCTTTCCTCGTTTGTAAGGCGCTGATGGTGTTGGCAACAATTGTTGGGGTAGTCAGGAAAGTGAAGTTGTACGGAGCAGGGGTATTAAGGAAGTTATTGACCACTGGTTGACCCGTTCAATATGGTTATTGTCATACGGTGTGGGATTAAGAGTGAATGTATCTTCCATATAGTCCGCAAAAGATTTAGTTTTATCCTCTTCTGTATATGAAATTCAACTAGGTCCATGGATAGGTGGAATAGCTTTATAAGGTTTCTTGAATTTTAGGGAAATGTCAAATAGGAAATTGTCCTCTATAGCTAGGGTATTTAGGAAACTGGTTCATTTTTGGTTTTTGAAGTTCTTGATTCTTCTGTTGATTTCTTTTTGCATAAAGTTTAGTTCGTGTTTGAGTTGTGGATCCCTGGGGATTTGCCATCTTTTACGGATCCGGTTTTTCTCTTTAATACTATTTCTTATATCGGCAGGCATGGGGAGGAAAGGCTTGTTCCCATAAAAAGTATTGGTGGCTTCCTTTAAAGCAGAATTCATGCAGTTGATAAATTTTGAGACTTCGTGTTCTAAATCTTCTTTGTTGTTGATCAATGTTCTTCAATCTTCTTTGTTGTTTCAAGGTCAACACCTTGTATAGAGTTATTCAGAATTTCAGAGTATTTGATCCAGTTTGTAACTCCTATACTTCTGTCAAGCGAGGGGAGGTATTTATTAATGGGAATTTTAAATACAATGGGGTTGTGGTCGGAAGACAGGGCTGAAATTACAGAGATATTGCATCTGTTAGTAATGTTATTTGAGATGAAGAAGTCAATTGTGGTGGCGCTATTGTACCCGTAATGGGTGGGTTCGTCTGGAGCATGAATGTTATAATTATTTGATTGAATGAGTTTAAATATGTCATTTCCTTTTTTGTTAGCAGGTCCTCGGTTCCAGCAGGGGTGTTTGGCCTTAAAGTCCCCTCCGACAATGGTAGAAGTATTAGAATTAAGGAGGTGAATCAATTCTTGTGCGCTGGGATTATTATTTGATGGGATGTATATATTCGAAATTTTGAATTTTTTATGTTTTATTACAATTTCTATTGTGTTACTTTCGAAAGTGGTGCTGGGATTAGGAATTTGAGAGTGTTTTATGCTCCTTTTAACAAATGTGATGATGCCATCCTCTCTTCCTGTCTCACGATCCGTACGGTAGGTGTTATAATTAGCATAAAGTACTTTGAGTGCTGGTTTAAGGTGAGTCTCTTGTATGAGTATTACGTCAGGTTCAGTTTTAATAATGAGGTTGGATAATTCATCTTTTTTATGGTAAAGACCGTTAGCGTTCCAAGAGAGGATTTTTATGCTGCATCTGTTCTTGAATTTATTAGAATTAAAGATGATTTCCTATTTTTCAATGATTTCGACTACTGCGATTATTTTATCAAGAGGTGATTTCTTGGTTTTAATGTTTTTGAGTCCTTGTATCACTATTGTCCAGATTGGTTTTAGCGAAGAGAAGTCAAAGAGGTCGGACAGGGAGGATTCTGCGGTGCTGGTAGTTTCTTGTGTTAGATTTTCGTTTTGAATGGAGGTTTGAGCGAGATTTTCGTTACTGTTTGATGTCAGCGGAGGAAAGTCTTGTCTTCTGTTAGTCCAGGGATTGGTTGCTGGTGGAGGACTGGGTTGGAACTGGTTTGTTTTTTGGTCTGAACGGGCAATTTGAGAAGTTGGCTGGGTGAGGACAGTGATAACATATGGCTGGCTGGTCGCGACTGAGGGTGCATTCTATAGGTTTGTGATTGCCTCCGCAACGGACGCACACGCAGTCTCTGGTGCAGAGCAGGGAACTGTGAAAAAATCCCTGGCATCTATAGCATTGTGGAGGGCCAGGTTTCTTGCGTAATGATTCTATTGGTTATGTTCATTTAACCTATGCGTTTGGTTTTGAATACTTTCTTATTTTCTTCTGATTTTGGTATATGTACTAAGAAAAGCGGCATTGGTTTAATTTTCTTTTCTGTTTCTTAATAGTGTAATAAAGTTAACCTTGAATCCTTTAATTAAGAAATCCTTTCTGAAGAAGTTCTTGAGTGATGGTTAAGCCTCTTATTATGACTTTTAAAACTTTATCTTCGGGCAATAAGTAGGTGTGGGCTTTAAGCTTTGTTTCTTCAACTATTTTGCGAATGAATCGATGTGAGTCAGAGTCTGCAGGCTGTATTTCAAGGCGGCTTTCTTTTAAGGTGCCAGTTATCTCTTTTCCGGTTTGCTTGTTTAAGTTTTTTAAGAATTCATCCGCTTTTGGTACGTCATCTACGACAATAATTGGCACTTTGTCAATTTTGCTTGTTTTTGGGCTGGAGTTTGGTTTCTATTTAAGGGAATGGTGTCACTTTTGTTTGGTTGGTCTTTTGGGGTGGTAAGGAGCTGATTCATCTTTCGTTGTCCAAATGCATGTCGTCTATTTGGTTCTCTAATTGTTTATATCGATTGCTGGTTTAAATTTGTTTAATGAAAAATTTGAGTGAACGGAAAGCTTACTTCAGTGTATTAGACTGATTGGAAAGAAAAAAATCATTCCCATATTGTCATTACCACTTCTTATACTCATTAAGATGTCAAGCCACTTTCTTTTAACTGTATGATGATATTAACCGCCAAGCGCATAATTTTTATGCTGTTTTTAGTTTAAAATGTGAGAAAGAAGTCCATAGATTAACGAGCCTGTGACTTAACAACAATGTTAATTATAGCGACTGATTATGTAATTTTCGCTAGATCTACTTTTTTTCCCCGCCATTAGTATTCTGCTCTATTTAATCCAGAGGGCGTTACGCAGTATCGATTTCTTCCGCGCAGTGTTGTGCGCTGAAGTGTTGGAGAAGGAAGAGTTGCCGTGGTTTAATTAATTTGCTATAATTTTTAAAAGTGAAATTATAATGTATACAGTCAGTTTTTGAAGATATGTGCATTTATTACCCTTAACTAGTGTTTAATTTACTTTAAAAGCGGATAATTATTCAAAATTTCAGTCATGGGCTCTCTATTTCGCAGTGAAGAGATGACATTATGTCAACTGTTCTTACAGTCTGAAGCAGCATATGCATGTGTTTCAGAGCTAGGAGAACTTGGTCTTGTTCAATTTCGGGATGTAAGTAATTAGCGATATTATTATGAAATGTGTATTTTATTGTGAGCATTTTAAAAATGAATTTTAGCAATAATTTCCCCTGTATTTATCTACGAGTTTTGCACTTTTTTAAAAATTATGATATATTAAAACCAAAATTTAGAAATTCGTTTAATTTGAAGCTTGCATTTTCCTAGTTTTGTTTGAAGTATTCTTTCAAAAATAAAATATTCATTCAAAATAAAAAAGCTCTCTTGAAAAACTTGTATGCTTGAATTAAACAAAGGTTTCTTAGATTTATGTTATTTGGTTGTTTTGCTTTGTGCTGTTTCAAGAAAAAACAATCGACAGACTCCAGACCGATTTTGAATTTGTAAACTTTCATTGCAACGGACAGTTGACATTGCGAACTGAAGGAAACAATTTGTATCACTCTTGCTAGGGATATAATTTGTAACCTGGAATTTTTGGTAAGTTAACTATAATTTGTTTTGTAGTATGTAACACATGTTGTTATTGTTTTAATAACACAAAACTTGTATTTTCTAAATTTTTTTTATTTATTTCCAGTTCTTTTAAAAATATGACGACAGAAAACGAAAATAAAAAAAATAATAATAATAAAAAAGAAAATACAAGCAAGAAAATAGAAGTGTTAATAATGAATGGTTTTTTAAAATCAAATTTAAATACACAACAGTCAATTTTGATGAGCTTTAGCAATCAAGCTAATAATGTGGCTGAAGCAAGTTTTATTAACATGGAAAACTTGGAAGATGTATTTAAAGTCTTAGATCCAAATAATGCAGCACTGCACAAGTTGTTTTGCAAATTACCATATTGACACATAACCAAACAACGCATAACTGCTATTAATGCATCATTTGAATATAATTTAAAAAATGATTTGAAGAACTGTATTGCATTCAGCTTAGCCCTTGACGAATCAAGAAATATCACAGATCACAGTTTTTATATGTTTTTGTGTCACCTGACTTCATTGTTAAAGAATTATTATTAGATGTAGTAGCTCTTCAAGAGTCAATCTGCAGTGTCAATATTAAAAATGCAGTAGATTCCATAATGAAAACTTTTGATGTGCCTCTTAATAAACTTTAAGCATTGCAACTGATGGAGCTCCAGCAATGCAGGGTAAAAAAATCAGTCTTATTGGACTTTTAAGAGATGATTCTCAAATTCCACGATTTATACCGATTCACTGCATAATTCACCGAGAATATCTCGTTACAAAATATTTAAAATATCTTGATGTAATGAAAACAGTGTTACACATTGTAAATTACATTAGCACCAGTGCAAAAAATCATTGACAATTCAAAAATGTCCTTGAAGAATTAAAGGACAAAGAACTTACAAATGACATTAATTTCTTTTCCATTGTTAATTGGTTACCTAGCTACAACCTATTAAATCGATTTGTACATTTGTTTGATCCGATAACTGCGTTTCTAAAAGAAGAGGAAATAGCCTATTCAAAATTAGATGATGACGAGTGGTTTTACAAGACATGTTTTTGAGTGATGTCATGGAACATTTGCAAACACCGAATTTACAATTGCAGAGGAAGATAAAAAAATATCTGACTTCCCACAGTCTATATTTAGTTTTCAAACTAAATTACAACTCTTTCAAAAGGACATTAAAAATAAAACATTTTGTCATTTTCCTTGAATTTTGCTACAATATTAAACAAGAAAAAACTCAACGAGTATATAAAAAAGCTAGATGGAATATTGATGGAATTTAATATATATTTCAAGACTAGAAATATTTTAAATCATCTCTTGATTTTTTTCTGAATCCATTTGAAATTAACATAATTCAAGGTGAGTTTTCCATTTCCAGTATAATTATTACCCTAAAAACATCTGGAGAATTAGAATTAATAGAGATGCAAGAAGATCAAGCTCTACAATTAAAATATAAGTCGACGGTGACTACTGAATTTTGGAAATTTGTATCAGAATCGAAGTATCATGAATTAAAGGCTGCTTGTCGAATTATTTCAATATTCAGAACAACGTACTTATGCAAATCATTTCACTTCACTTTAAAATTCATGAAATTCAAACATTGATCAGTATTAACTTCACCAGCATCTTACAGAATTACTGAGATGTGCTGTCACCAATTATTCATCAAATTTTAAAAATTATGAAGAGAAGTAAAATAAATGTGTTTAATTTTTAAAATTAAAATTCAATACACATATTTTGTATTTACATGTTTTTAATAAATATAATTTCTAAAAAAAATTAATACCTTTTAAATACGTATTTAATTGTGGCTCGTGAAAAACTTCAAATTTTAAAAAATGGCTCAGACTATCAAGGAGCTCGGCCACCCCTGCAATATAGGATACTTTACTTTTGTTCTTCCCATGTCGGTGATCTGTTTTCACTTAACCCTTTGATGCATGCGATATTATTTTTATAATTTTTTTAACTAAAAACTCTAGAAATTGAATATTATGATCCTAGAGACAAATAATGTATGAATTTAAAAAAATCTACCCTTGCCCATTGTTTTATGGGTGGTGGTCGCACTGTGAAACCACCGCGCATCTAGGACTTTGAAACTTACCTAGGTAGTAGGAAAAAAAAACTTACCTTTTTCCGTGCACGTTTCCAATAAATAACGAAATTTACGATTTTTTTTTTAAATGCCTGTAAGAATTGCATAATATATATTTTACATTATTTTACAAACTAAATCATCAAAAAAAAATTAAAAAATAAAGATTTATGTAATTTTTCTATAGCAGTGAAAGTATAAGTATAGTAAGGTTCTCTATGAGTATCTCCTTATGATGTTTATGAGATAAGAGCTAAAAAATACTATCCAAAGAACAATTAAAAATAGTAAAACAAATTAATGACACATTTTAAATGGCCTTCTCCCTAATGACCTACTTATTTGAAGTATCATATGCATGCCAAATTTGTCAATTTTGTTGCTAGATAATGTCTTTATTCTGGTAATATTAGATTTGTAGTTCGTTATTATGGCTGGTTCATAATAGTGAAGTTGTGCATGATGCCAAGTTTGAGCAGCTCTTTCTTTTCATCTGGTACATGACATTTGTGGTTTTTTATGTTAATGGAGGGGGGGGCCTTGGTCTTTTTGGCTTTGGTATGGATTCGTTTCCCATTCATACTTAAATATTTTTAATTTAAATAAAACTTTACGCGATTTCTATTTTTAATTACAGCAAAGCATATTTGCATTAAATTTTAAACACAGGAAATAATTTATAAAAATCACAATACTAGCTTGGGGAGCAAGTGTGTTGAGTTCAGAGAAAAGTCTCTGGAAAAGAAAGACCTTTTTACTGGGCAGGTGCATTTATTGTTTAGTAATAAAATAACTCTGTGATTTCAAAACCCCTTATCTATATCCGGGTAAAAATAAACATTCCTATTTGAAGAAGCAAAGCAAACTGCCATTGTGAAGAGCAGTGGTTTCAAGGCACAACCACAGAGCCTCTAGAGAATTGTGACACAATACTCTAGTGGAGCAGTGGTCGCGCCCTGAAACCACAAAGCAAATGCCATACATATAGAGGTTTTTTTATATATATGTGCAGTTTAATTATTGCTACTTTTTATTGTTTATGATAGAAATCATGATGTGCGATGAATAACTTTTGAAATTTAAAGTTGTTTATATTAATGAAAGGAAGTTATTTTGTTACAACGAATTGAAAACGAATTTTAAAAGCCATCCACTTTGAAGTACTAAGACCTAAAACATGTATGATTCTGTAGTCATTTTGTGTTATTTAGAGGTCAAAGATCAGTAATCAATTGATTGATTGATTTTCACTCAAAAATTTCAGAAGTAATCAATTGATTTTCACTCAAAAATTTCAGAAGGAAGAGGAGAAAAAAATTTGAATATTGGTGGTTTCAGGGCGCGACCATCGTGCGTTAAAGGGTTAAAAAACATCAGAATTATACAAACTTAGCATTGCCCATGTACACAGCGATATATTTTCACTTAAAAAAATCAGGAAATGGGCATTGCGCACAATCATTTCCATTGATTTGAGTTATAAAAAAAATGTTTCCAGAAAAATGATCCAGACCAAATATAAAGTAATTTCCTAACAATGAAATCATCAAATTTGGTGTGTACCCGATATTTCACTTTAGTCAGTAACAATAAATGAAACTGACCTTCAGTCTTCTCCTTTTGTAGAATATATGGCCAATATCTCATTTAGAACTGTCTCCATTAACTTGCAGATGCTGGGTTTCTACTGCTAGTGTATCCACCAATCAACTCCCCCATACATGAATTGAATTGTTCTGATGCCTGCCGAGTACAATGAGACTTCTTTCAATTATCCCCCCAAATCTCTCCATACTGTTAGTATGTGAACTTGTCTTTGGATCTTTAAAACACAAGCTATGTTTTACTTTTAGGTGCACATATCCTTTGGACACGAAGCGGCTGGCTATAGGCTTTCCAGCAATCAATAATAACACTTGGTCCTGGCAAGACTTTCTGTTAAATAATTTCTAGCAATGACTCGGGTCCTGTCCTTTCAACCACTCTAAACACACATTTATCTACCTCTAAAGCAAACCAAACACCCTATCTCTCTTCGACTATTTTCCCTGTGTGATATTTTTGCTTACCTAATTTACTTTGTATTTCTATAATCATGCCCTCCCCACCCAACATGACATCTTCTTCAAGCATAACTCCGTGCACATCTCCCTATAAAAACTCTTCCAATTTGTTACGATATTTTTAGTAGTACCTAACTCTGATCATAACCACATATATGTAACTCTGAAAACACCACACATGTTCAATTTACTCTTCATAAACCATGAATCCTTTCAAAGAGACCTTGTAATTTGATGCGTATATTCATCTCCTGTAACTATGCATTCATTCAAAATCATCTATACAGTTCTTCTGCTCTGCCAGTTTCCTATTCGTTTCAAAAATCGGACATTTATAAAGACATTGCAATGAACATTTTCTCCATACACCACTTAATCATGCTTTTTTGACCCTTTTGCTCCAACTGGTAAAAAAGGTCCAAATTTAGATAATCAGCCATACTGCAGGAAGCACCAAGATCAGGCACACTCATTATTGATCAAAATGTTATTTGAACAAAAGAATTCTTTTCTGTATTTTGAGCATTTATAGTGATAAATTTTAAAACATTCATTCAATATTTTCAGTCATTTGATAAATTTAAATAATGTATTTTGAGGAGCTAACTCAAGTAACTACATTTTGAGGTTCCCCTTGGATTATTGCCAAGTTGTTGTTTCATTTATGGTAACCTGAGTATTTTACGGTGTATGTTTTGAAAACTCTATCATGATGTGATTGGTAAGATCCTATCTTTAAGTGAATGCTGAATTTGAATGTTGGGAGAATATTTCTCAGGGCTTATTTTTGTGTTGGATGTTGGTTAGGAAGTACATTGCTTATTTTGTGCTTTACGTTGTAAAATGGCTGCCAGGGGTAAAATTAACCTGAAGTGTCTGTATGGTTTGGAACAAAGGAAAAAGAAAGTATTTATTGACTGGTGTTTAATTAAAGGTTCAATCATAATTCAGCAGAATTTCTTAACTGGAACAATGATCATATCTGATTGCTGGAAGTCGTACGATTGTCTTTCTGAGAATGGCGTCACTCACCTCTCGGTAAATTATGCAGTGAAATTTAAGGATTCGGAAACCAGAGCTCATATCAACACTATCGAAGGTATGCGAGTTGTAATAAAAAGGGATTTTTGAAAGAAATGCCTCTAACTGTCTGGCATTATGGATAAAATTTTTTATTCTTATTTTTGTGAATTTGTGTGCCAACGACAGTATACAGATTCTAGTTCAGATAATTTTAAGTAGTTTTTGAATGCTGTTAAGGAATTCTGTTTGCCACACACTGAAGACACAGAAATTTCTAAATAAAGTCAAAATTTCTTTTTGTACTGTGCAGATTAGATAACATACATTTCCGTTTTTATGTTATTTCCCTATTTTATTTTGATTTAAAATGCAGTTTGTTGTGATTATAATTTTTTCATGTTTTAATGCATTATGTTTTGGACACCATTTTACTTCGGAGGACATTGCAGATAAACAGGAATGGTGCCAAAAAAATCGCCAGTTTTCGCCTGAAATATATTTTTCCCGTTAACTCATATTAAATGTTAACAGTAGCACACAAACATACAATAAAGTAGGTTTAAAAAAAGCCTTGCTCAGTAACGTTATAAGCCTAACATTACAACTAAATTAAAATATAATTTTAATTTTCTTCAAATATGAAGCTATAATATAATTATAACTTTTTTCTAGAAAGAGGCATAGACACTATTATGTCAGAAAAAAGCATGTTCAAGCACAAACGTTCTTCTAGGATTGAGCCAATATTTTAAAATCCATATCTTTAATAAATATACTTGCTTAAACAACGTACTTGCTGAGCACAAAATTTTTGTTACTTTTAGCTGAATCCCGATGTTAATGCCTTTCAACGAAAGTTTGTGAATGAAGTTAGGAGGTGTGATGAGATGGAGAGAAAATTAAGTAAGAAAATAACTTTATTTGTTCATTATTTGTTTTATATGAGAAAACTGGCAGTTAAACTATTTTTTATTTAGGATTTCTTGAAAAAGAGATCAAGAAAGATGGCATTGCAATGATGAGTTTTGGTGACAATCCAGAAGCTCCACAACCCAGGGAAATGATTGACTTAGAGGTAAGGGGAAAACTTGTTTATTAATCAAATTTATGTTCAAATAATACTTTTAGTTCAATAAAACATAATTTTAATATACCATTTTTATAAGTACTCCAAAAACTAAATTGCCGTAATTGCTGTGCTGAGAATAACGACTAACTTGTCAATTCAAATTTTTTCGTTTTCACTAACCTCTCTGTCTACCTTCTTCATGTCTTTATCAATTTTTTGCAGCAATTCCACTTTTTGTTTGATGGACATCGAAACATACTTTTGTTTTGTAGATCCTTTGGGAGCTCCAGCATCGGAAATTCTATTTGACATAATCGGAAGTTCAAGTTTACTTTTATAAAATTGCTCTTACAGTCTGCAAAAAATAATAATACGGATCCAATTTGAAGATTAAGGAACAACGCAATCATCAACATTAACTGAAATAGATAATTAGATAATTTTAGCTTATACCGTCCGTTACACATTGAACGCGCACGCGAAAACGTATTCTGCGCTTGTGCACACGCATATGTGCAGTTGTAAAGCACGTGTAAATGCCTATGCACATGCGCAGAAAGTTTTTAGCTTTGAGGTCCGGATTATGGGTGTCCGAATTAACAACTTTTGACTGTATATGTATATATAGAATCTCATCTGACCGAATGTATTTGGTAATTTAGATGCTATATGGAAAGCAACAGGGTATTATCGCAACTACCTCAGTAGGAGTCGCCAAAGTTTCAAAATAGGTTAAATTCTGTTAACCTCATGCAGGCAAACATGAAAACTATAAATATTAAATTTCTGACATCGCTATTTTTATATGCTTTCTTTTTTGCTGAATTGAAAGTTCCAATGGCTTTTATAGAGAAATTATGATACTTTTTATCTTAAACATAATTTTCACATTCTTGCTTGTGATATTTGTCTGTAATATAAGAAAGAAGGGTGAAATTTTTGTAGCAATACAGTATATTCAGTATTTTGCCACAGAATGGCTGAAGAAATAATGGTTTGAATCTTTTTTAAAAGCGATCACTATGAAACTTCCACCACAACAAGCACAAAAACCCATATTACGTTAAGAACCAGCTCCAGCACATAACCATGAAATATCCTGCTTATGACCTAATACAAGTATCTGTAAAGTTTTGTTAGAAATTCATTAAACTTTTTAGAATATGTTCTTTTATGAGGACAACATTCATACCTTTTTCTTGCCTAAATTTTTTAGTATAGAAAGCTTTAACCGCTATCCTATTATTTCCTTCTAATTTCAGTCAAAATTTCTAAAGGTTAGTCATCGTTTTAGTCTCTTCAGTTGTTGCAGTCGTGACATCAAATGGTTCTCATTTTAGTACCTTATATGAGCACCTTTTATTTAAAGCAATATGTTTCATTAAAATTTTAAATTCCCACTAGTGAAGCAAATGGATAAGACGCTGGTAACACTGTCATCCTACTTACCAGGATTTTCCCTATGTGTAATGACGTGAATACAAAAAAGTTCACCTTAGAAATCCTCTACAAAGACACTTCTTCCATTAGACAGCCCTAGAGTGCTTTGCTGTAATTAATACAAACTTTAAACGTTATCTAAGTGTAGAAAATACATAAGTGATGACATGAGATCTTCTGAGTTTGATATCAGATGGTAAGGAGATATTGGTATGGAGATTTATTTTCTTGAGTGTTATGAAGGTTTAAGTGATGGGATGGAAATATAAAATTGAATTTTCAGTACTTTTCCATTTTTGCCGCAGCCGATAATGTTGCCAATAATGGTACAACTGATTGCAAATGGCATATCCTCGCTGGTAACGTTTTATGCCTCATTTTCAAAACATGTCGCAGCCTTTTCTTATCAGATTGATTGTTTCTTTCAACATTGGCATAGCATTACATAGAATTTTTACCCAGATAGTTCAATTTTATGCCCTAAGGCCATTCGCTATCATTAAGTCAATTAGGATGCAATCACACCGCTCACCCGAAGGCGAAAATATAGTAAAGGCAAAGTCAAGGGTTAAATTCATCAATTCTAATGAGAATATGCTAGCTAAGTAAAGCACTGTGGTTTTACATAATTTCTGAGTAAGCTATTTGTACGAATTGAAATAATTGAAATATATGAATTCTTGCATTTAAACTTGTATTTTAAATTAAAATTTAACTTGAAATTAATGTAGATAATTACTGAGAGAATTAGATTTTTATAGCATAGTTTATGTGAGATGAGATCACTTGGGGTCACGTGATATGAACCGGCGAATCATCTTGTTGAACCATGAAAGCATAATAAATTCTTAATGTCTTTTTACAAAATTTTAAATGATATTAAAATGTTTGTGCCTTCAAAATAAGAACTAACATTTGTTAACATTTTATATATATACTGTATATTTTCACCAATAAAGTCTGCTTGGCATGATTTGCGCCGGCGAAACAGAAAAGTATCGAATTTTCATAAGTGGACTGATATGCTCTTACTTCATAATGACTTTCCTCCTAATCATACAGCAGATAATTTCTCTAGAGTAAAAAACAAACAAAATTGAGGACAAATATTTAAATGTCACATGAACGTGTTATCAAAAGTGGTCTGTACAAAAAAATTTTCAAAGAAACTGCCAGTACTTAGTATCTGTACAAAGCCACATCTGGGGGGGGGGAAATGGCTGAAGGCTTTTAAACATAATCTGGTAGCAATGTGATTGAAATAATTAATGCACAAATGAAAACTTCAGATAGACCCATTCTACTTATTCTGCAGGTCACGTTCATGAAATATTCATATTGAAAGCTTTTTTTTCCCCTCCTGATAGATCATGTCTTGCATTTTATAAACAGAGGAAAATAATTAAAATGAATCACAAAATTTATTAGTAAGTATTGAAACTAAGGGCTTTATCTTGAAAATAGCAAAGGAATTGGCAGTCTTGAAAAGAGTAAAATAACTGGCAAAGAAAATTAGGTGAAAAATGTGAGAGTTTTTAACTAGAAACAAAGTTTTATAGTTTCTTGCTTTTAATTTTTAGCACGCATGTCAAAACTTCATTTTTCTCAAAGTAATTTGCTTATAGTTTTTGGGGGAATTTATGGCTTCAACTGTTTAATAAACAGCTTTAAGACAGCAAATTGCTTTAAGGTAATCTATGAGTAAAACAGTGTGCAGCCTTATGAGTAAGTTGCACTCGAAACCACTGTTCATACCCTGAATTTGTTTGTAAAATATTATTAGGTTCTCTATGAGTATCTCCTTATGATGTTTATGAGATAAGAGCTAAAAAATACTATCCAAAGAACAATTAAAAATAGTAAAACAAATTAATGACACATTTTAAATGGCCTTGTCCCTAATGACCTACTTAATTGAAGTATCATATGCATGCCAAATTTGTCAATTTTGTTGCTAGATAATGTCTTTATTCTGGTAATATTAGATTTGTAGTTCGTTATTATGGCTGGTTCATAATAGTGAAGTTGTGCATGATGCCAAGTTTGAGCAGCTCTCTCTCCCTTTTTTCTTTTTTCCTTTTTTAAAGCAAAAACTGATTGCTGCATATAGGGAGCAGCAAAGTAAGTGATCTCTGATTTGTCGCCCAATCTTCCTGCAAAATCACCAATCATTAACAATTAATTTTGCATAAACCTAACATGTGAAAAACTGTACCATTTTAAAAAATAGTAACACACCCCGAAAATTGCCATCAGCTTTTTCTGTAGCATCTATTACTTCTTTTATATTAAAAAAATTAACTGTAACCCATGTGTATATGTTTATATATATATAGAATAGTAAAGTTACATTAAATTTAAATAATTCTCTTGCGACATTGAATTTAACAAATATTCTCTGTTCATATAAAGTTAAGAAATTTTTAATTGCAAAAATAACAATAAGATTAATTATTGCTATGAACTAATTTACAATATCATTTAAATTCTAAGAGCATATGTAAAGTGCTTGTATCTAAAACCATGAATAAAATATATAATATTCCAAAAAATTAATCTCAATAATTTTTTTAAGGAATTTTAAAGACCAAATTAAATTGCATAAGTGAATAAAAATTATTGAGCAGGCACGAGACAGACTTATCAAGCAGGAAAATTCCTTAAAAAAATTATATATTTTTTCCATGGTTTTAGATATGTGTTTTTAATTTACATATGCTCTTAGAATTTAAATGGTATTGTAAACTAGTTCACAGCAGTAATTAATTTTATTTTTGCACTTAAAAATTTCCTAATTAAATTTAAAATTTATAGTAGCTTTATATGGATAGAGAATATTTGTTAAATTCAAATTTGCACATATGATTATATATATGAGGGAGTCGGAGTTGGTCATTTTCCCTACCGACTCCACAGCCCTGTTCAAAATTCATGTGTGAATTACTAAAAGTTTTCTGTGCGTAACTAATATAGTGGCAGAAGTTTTTCATAAAATGTATTTATTAAATTTATTATCAAAATAATATATCTGTGTAAATGTTTTTTTGTTTGATTAGTAACTTATGAAACCAAATGATAACATTAAAGATATTTGGTAATATATCCATTTAGAATTTTTTCCCAAGCTTAAATTTAATATGTTAAGAATTTGATTTACACTCTTACATACATGGCTTAATTTTATTATGTTATGTTAAGAAAGATTTATTAATCATCTCGTATTTTAATGCAGGCTACTTTTGAAAAATTAGAAAATGAATTACGTGAAGTAAATACAAATGCAGAGGCTTTAAAGAAAACTTATTTAGAATTGACTGAATTGAAACATATTTTAAGGAAAACTCAGCAGTTCTTTGATGAGGTAATTTCACATTTTATTATATCTCTTTTGAATTTTAATTTAATGCAGTATATTTTCTTTATATTTATTTTGTCTTTAAACTAATTTTACCTGTGTGTATGTACACAAAGTATCGATTACCATAAAGGTAATGTCCAGCAATGGGTTTACTATAAGTTGTATTGCTCGCAAAAAAAAAAAAAAAAAAAAAAAAAAAAAAAAAAAAAAAATTGCCAAAATTCGTGCAACCATCTACCAAAGTAGCACCTTATTGATGTTAGGAAGATCTATAATTCTGTTCATTTTTTGCATTACATCACTTTTATAGTAACAGGGCATTTATCATCCACATACCCTGGAAAATTGCCAGATCTCTGAAGTTTTGCCATTCAGTGAGGCATGGGATTTTAAATTTATTTTCAATTTGGAACATTACATTTTAATTGATAATTTAAAAGAAATGTTCATTCAGTCAGCATGTGTTCTTTTGTTCTGAAGGTATGCTTGAACATTCATAATTAATTTAGACACGTTTTAATAAATAAATTAATAATTTTTAAGTGGTATTTAATTTATAAAGCATACAAAGTCATTTATTTTTATTTAAATGCTGCATAATAGTATTTAATTTATTGTAATTTTATTTTAATGCTGTAATATTATGCAGGAGCAAAGTTCCTGGCTTACTTTTTTTAACTTACATTTTTATAATTTTTCGTTTTATATAGTTAAAAAGCTTAAATATTTATTTGTATTTAAAAGAATATTATTGTGCCATTGTAAAAATAATCACAATAACAATAAGTTAAATATTATGAAGGTTATTGGTTTAGTGGTAAATACTTGCATCAGTTTTGTCTTGCTTTTCATTTCGCTTTGTAATTGGTATTTGGAGATTCAGTTTCATAGCTTTTAATAATATTTTAATAATGTGTGGAAATAAACTAAACTGCTTAAACAATATTATCTTGTAGTGGCATGTCTTAGAAAAAGAAATTTTTTAAAAATTTATAAAGAGCTCTTTCTTGCAGTTTAATAACTTTTTTTTAATAACAGACTGCACACAATAGTTCCTCTGCTAAATTAAAAGTGATAAATTTTTTATTAAGGTATATATCTAATACATTGATTTATGAAAATCCTAATATCCAATTCCTAGGTTTGTTATGCAGTTAACTGTGGTCATGTGATGTGTGACAGACGCTATTGAAATTAATATAGCATCTTGAAAATATTGAGTTTTAACAAGGTTCCTGCCACTACAAATATCATCTGCACAAACAGTTTGCATTGTTCCACAGGGTTCGTACAGTCCTTAAGAGTCCTTAAAAGTCCTTAAATTTTTTGGAACCGATTTTTGGTCCTTAAAAGTCCTTAATTTTGGCCAAAATCAGTAGGAGGTCCTTAATTTTAATCATCTGAAATTTCTGTCTGTTTTTACAACTACCATTTTGAGTGTGAATTAGCATTTTGAAGAAATTTTTTTGGTGATTCAATGATGTGTATGGTTATCTTTTGAATGGGTTCATGGGTTATAATTTGTTTTTATTTTTAATATAAATGACGGGATACTCGAGTTTCTAAGCAAGAAGTGAAACAAGCATTTCAAAATCCATTTATTGTAATAAAAAGCTCTTAAACAATTTTCGCTTTTGGTAATGTGAATTCTTTTATCAAATTGGTTCTAAATTTGGTGACTTGTCAACATTTTGGCGATTTTAAGACCAGTTTCTATAGAAAATTTTTAATTCTGAAATCAGAATTTTTGACGATTTTTTTTGAAAAAACATCATAACTTTGATAAATAACATTAAAATAAAACATGTTTATTTTCTGCTGTCATATTATAAAGTTTTATTTTGGGAACTTATTATACAATATTTTGAATCTGAAAAATAAACAATGTATAATGCTATAACGCATAATTTACGAAACAACTCTTAGCAGAAGCAAAATTCTATGTAATTAATAAAAAATATCTTCTTTTTAATTTTTTCATAGTAAGCGTTTTTCCCATGTAATTGTCTCGGAATATTCAAAATTCTCAGAATATGCATCAGTTTCATCTATAAAAGTAATTTTACACTTTTCCCTTTTTTTTTTTTTTTTTTCTGCAAAATATTTCTGGCTTTTTGCTGTTACAGAATTGGGATAATTTTTCTTTAGTATTTTTGACATTGCAACTTGGAAAGTTTAGAAGGATTTGAAAGCAAGATTTATAGACCCACAATTCTAGAAGATTCGAGAAATATGTGACAAAGTGAAAAATGTCTTCATGGTTTCAACGCGTAATGGATGTATTTTACAGAATGTTTGCAATGAATTTCTTACTTTTTGGAGAACGTCTGGAAGAACAATGAAGACACGAATAATATTTGAGTGTTTTATTCCTGATACTAGAATCTTTTTCTTAACATGTTTATCTTCCCTTTATTTTCTCTACTTTTCACTAGACACAAGCATGGAAAATATCAAAAATGCTTCTAATCGTATCACTTGGGCAGGCATTATAGAAAGGGATTTTTTTTAATTAATAAAAAAAATTGAAAACTTACAATTTAAAAGATCCATTTAATATGTTTGAATGCATCATACACATTTTCCCTTTTGATGCAATCTCTGTGGATCCTAAATTCGAGTGCATAGTGCCTTTCTAAATTCTGCTTCCAATGCCTGTCTAAATTCTAAAAGTTTTGTCATTTGTAGATTTTGTTGTTTGGTATGTCACTAAATTCTAAAAATTCTGCCACATCAGCTCTGTAACTGGCCTTTACCATATATATATTTCATATTTCTTCTGAATTCCATATTACTAAAGAAATTAAATTATTCACTTTTTCTATACATTCTAAATGCATTTAGTTATTTTAGAAAAACAGAAATCCTTAATTAAATCCAAAAGTTCTAAAATGAAAAAGAAACATGCTGAAGAAAGAAACTGAATACATAAAGAAAATTATTCTTCAAAGATATGTGCAGTTATTATTATGTAAATTACGCAATTGTTTATGATTTCAGCCTTTACTATAATTTTCCATTTCTGTTTCCTCATATGATAGAGTTACTGAGCCAGATTAAATTAAAATTAAATTGTATAATTTCTTACCACTAGTCCAACTTTTTAGTTTGAATTTGACTGTTCTTGTTTAATTACGTCACCGTGAGATATAATTGACTTTGTTAGCATCATAACATGCATTTATGTTTGTTCTAAGTTCTTTTCAAATAAGAAGCTTATTTAAACCTTTGTCCGATATTGTAGTTACTTTCAGACATAGTGATAATTTGCTTCACGTCTATTGAGGGTTTTGGATTATTTAACTTTTATCAGATCAAGTAAACCCTCATAGGTACATTGTGGAGAGGTTGACAAATTAGGAGATAAAGCACGCAGAAACTAGCGAGAGCATTGGTTTTGCATATTGAGACAAATCTCTAATTATTGTTAGAAAATATGTTTAAAGAGAAGGAAATCAGTATAAACTAGCCAAAATGTTTGGGAAGGCTTCAAATTAAAATGACTGATAAATATTTTGTTGAGTGTTGTTGTTACAAAACATAAATGTTTTGTAGCCTTTATGTGTAATTATTCTAATATCGTTTAAGAATCAGTGTCATAAATAACATGTACTACTGCCACCACCACTCGTGAACAAAGCTCAGATTGCGTCAATTTACGAGTGTTAGAGAAAAAACTCAATCAGGATGTTGGGGTTTTAATTTTTGAAATAAATAGTTAAAAATACTTTGCTTCTTTGTGTACCACCTATTTTTTCTTGCGTACCACCGGTTGAGAACCTCTGCTTTAGACTGACCAAGTATGTGACAAAATAAGACATAAAAAAATTGACATAAAGCTAACTATTAGTAAAACGTAAACGTCGCTTATTTTCTTTCAAATATGTCCAACCTATTATAAATGCTACTTGTAAAATATTTAACGCTACTTGATAAACTGCATGAAGTTTATTTTATTCTCAAACTTATTAATAATTGTTAATTAATTTACGTTTGGCAATAATGCATACTACTTATGGATCTATTTTATTTTTAGGATGGTATTAGAAAAGTGAAATTCAGGCATAGAATAAAATTTTTAATTGAATTTAATCAGTTCCTATTTGCTCATAGGTCCTTAATTTTTTCATTAATGGTCCTTAAAAGTCCTTAATTTCCGTGTGCAGAAATGTGTACGAACCCTGTTCTATTTAATCATATTTTCTCAAATGATTTTTTATCATTTGAAAGAAAGAGAGTTGCTTTAGCTTTGTGTGAAATTTGTAAAAAAAAATATCATTATCATTAAGTACAAGGTGTCTGAAATGGAACTGCCACATTACTAGATTAGAACCATCATTTACTTCCAGTTATATTTCAAAAAGTCTACAGAATGTCACCAAATCATGTATACAGCTTTAGGTACTAATGTTGCATTATATGACACTGTGAAGTTTTGGTACCGAAAGTTCAGAAACTAGGACTGTGATATTCAGCAAGCAGAGCACTCTGCCTGGCGTACTGATGTTGAAGAGGCCCGTCTGTAAGAACTTGTGGAAGAAGGTCAGTATGCAACCACTCAAGAGCTTGCTAAGGAGTTAGACGTTAGGGCCATGTCCATTAGTTGGGCTATGCGTCGCATAAACTTGAACATACACGTTAAGTCGCTGAGCTGACTCAAGCAGATAAAGACAGATGTGTTCAGGTGTGCACTAATATACTCTAATATCAACACAAGGACGAAATTCTAGACCGGATCATTACTTGTGTTGAAAAGTGGATTTATCTCAACAACAGAGGCCAAAAAGGGGGTTGGTCTGCGCCCAATGAGCCCATTTGCAGCATCGCAAAGCATAATTTGGCTGGCAAAAAGATCATGCTTTGTATCTGGTGAGATTGCCATAGTGTCTGGAAATTCCCAAGTGATTCACCAAGAGTGTCTGGAGAAAAAGTAAAACTCATGACAGTAAAATGTACAGTGAGATGCTAGTCCATGTTGACAGTGCTATCAAGAAAAAATGTCAAACTGAGTTCCGGCATAAAAAGATAATTTTTCCATCAAAATAATGCAAGATCACATGTGTCTGCATTCACCTGTTGGACTCCATACAGACTTGAGTATTGCCACACCTACCATATAACCCCAACATTGCTCCCTTCGGACTTCCAACATTTTCACACCTGCAACTACATCTTGTTGGCGCTATCATCCATTCTGCACAGGACGCCCAAAGTGTGGTTGATCTATTTTTGGACTTGCAGCCACCAAGTTTCTGGGCCGAAGGCTTTGAAAAACTGCCAAAATGTTGACAGAAAATTCTAGATTTGGGTGATGATTATTACACGTACTAAAGATACTGCTTTCATTTTTTTTCCCCTAACTTTATAAAGAATGTTTTTTGATATTTCACGTTCATGGACTTTGAATACAGTGATTGCTCTCTGAGACAACTATCTTGATTCCAGATCATTTTATTATTTTGTAGAGTTGGTTTTCATAGAAACTGAGTTTCAATAACTCTCTTTGTTTATGTTCTCCAAAATGCTGAGGAAAGTCATTTTTCAGTCACAGTGAAAGGTTTTTTTCAGTATATTTTCAACTTGCACCTTGTTGTAGATTTAAAATAAATATCTAAAGCAGGCTTCAGCAACCTAGACTCATGGCTGAACGAATGACCCATTTCAAGTGACCCACTTGAGTTCCAAAATTAAAGCACAGTATATAAAACATAAATAAGAAATGAACACTTGAAGAATACATAAAAAAATAAACCAAAAATGGATAATAACCATAATATTTTTATTTGATTACAAAGTTGCTGTAATAAACATACATTAAAATAACATTTGTAACATAATTTCAAGGAGAAAGATAAATTTAGCAAAGCCAATCATGATTTGTATTAAAAAAATGATTTTGCTATTTTGTCTGCATTTAATTAAACTTAATTAAAGTGAGTAAATATTTTCAGTAGTAAAATTTATTTTAAATAAGAATAGGAGTAGCTTAACTTCCGAAAATTCAGATGCTTGAATTTGTCTTAAGACTGCTAACTATAAGTCAGACTTCACTAAACTGCTGTCGCATGTTCAGTTAGCATCAAGGGAGCCATTGATATCGAAGAGAAAAATAAAGTTCATTCAGTTATATCTGTCAGCTTGTGTAATAATATTTATAACTATAATTTTTATTTTAATGCTGATTATAATTATTTTCTCAATAAAATTTATTTTGTAATTTACCAAGAAAGACTCTTTTTAAAATGAAAAGTATCACTGACCCGAAACTTCTTAGTACAGTACAAAGTCTGAAATCCAGACTCGTCGGGACTTCAGCGATTCCGGATTTGGGATTTTTCCAGATAATAGATCATCAGTTTAAATCTAGTAAGACGGCACATAGAAATTATAAAATTAAAAATATGAAATCGTGATTTATGAAGTAATGAAGTATTTATGATCTAAAGGGTATCAAAGTTTACAAAAAAATCTTAATATTTATTTGTTTTACTTTATTAAACATTTATTTCAATGTAAAATGTTTTAAGTTACTTCTTTTTTTGTGCTAATACTTTCTCTTTAATTCTGTAGACAGAAAATCTCTTGTTTAGTTACATTGTTGAAGTCCTGTAACTGCTGTCGAGAATTCCAACTAACTTGTCAATCGAAATTTTCTCATTTTCAGTAACTTCTCTGTCACTATCAGTAGCGATATTTTCTGGATCTAGAACCATACTACAGATTTCTTCATTCATTAATTGATTGATGATTGAGAAACATTGTCATCATAATGAAAAACTTCTTTTATATCATCTTCATTTATTACCGCTTTTCTACATTAACATAAGTTTCTAATAGGTTTTGCTTTGCTTCTGAATGCACAATTTGAAAATTTTCACCTTTATTTTGTGATATTAGAAAACATTTAAAGTTTAATAACCATCATCAAATTTACCTATCTTCACTATACATATTTGGCTATGCTTCATGAGCTTGGCGACTAATGACAAGTTGTTCCGTTAAAGTTTATGTTGCTTCTATCACGCATTGAGACAATTAAGCCTGAATTGTATTAGTTTAATTAATTATTATAATTATGTCTATTTCTTGCATATGTTTAAGGCTTATCAAAGCTCTGAATAAATAAATTCTCCCATAAGCTTTATTGAGGCCCAGCGCTAGTTATCTTATCGCCTGTAGATCCTAAATTCTTCGATTCGGCACGACCATACGAGCCCTGGCCTTGGTTCTGTGTTCTGTGAATAAAAAATCAATTATTCTTAATTCAAATAGCCTTAAATGTAATCTTTGAGTCTATGAGTATCATCAACAAAATCTATTTTTAGCATATGGAAAGAAATGTTTGGTAAACCTTTCTCGTCAACATTTTTAGCCCATTTAACTGAAATCTGTAATAATCGCCAAGCATAATGTCAACATAAAAGGTTACCATACTCCTTTAGTATTCAATTACTAACATAAAAAAATTATTTAGGCATTGCTACATGAGTCATTGCTTGAGTTGTCATGTTTTCATAAACATGCAGGAATGAAAGGAAAAGTATAATAAATAATGATTCGCCAGGTTGGTGTCAGATCAATGATGTATCTGTGTGGAATGTTTTGGTTTGAGATGTGTGCCAAGCAAATATGCACCAGCGGAGCCAAATTACTGATCCTACAAATTTATGCTAAAATGATTGTTTCTTCCGTAACAAGGTATTTTATGTAGTGTCGAAAGTGAGATTAAGAATTGAGACTCTCCAGATGTTTTATTATGTGCAGAGGGGGAAATCAAATGCACATGCAAAAAGCCTACAAGAAAAGTTTTGTTGATGGTTTTGAGGTCCGGATTTTAGATCATTCCGGGTAATGAACGTCCGGATTTCGGACTTTGCACTGTACACACATTTTAGTTGATTTTGACCAACAGCCAAAGAACAGTTGCCAAAGCCTGATCTAAAGTATTCCAACTGACTAGTAGTCAAGTTGATGAAATCATAAAACACTGGCAGTTCATCTTAGGGTTTGTTCCCAGTTGTTGTAAGATGGTCATGTGCAGTTTTCTAGTATAAATTGAAGTAATTTCTCATAGAATGTGTTTCTCCCTGTAAACAGAAAAGCCTAAAATGGGATAATCCGATAATTCAGTCCAAAGACTTCGAAAATGATTTTTTTTATAAATTCCTACTATTAGCTCACACTCTCACAATATCTTGTTCAGATTTTCAATCATTAATATTTTTATTCACTTAAGTTCAAATGCATGTTTTTAATCAAGTGAATGACACTTGATGTTAATACAGTTTTTTCACATATTAAAGATAATTAAAATTTAAAATTTCACATATTATCACATATTAAGATTTACAAATAATGACACATAATAAGTCACAATAAATACTTATAAATAATGACCGTTTATTAGAAATTCTCACGTGCTGTAAAAATTAATTTATAACAACTTATAAATAATAGTACATGACTCATAAATGGGATTGTAATATTTAACAAAAATAAGTTTCGGCATTAAGACAGAGTTCTAACGATTTTTAAAGTGTATGGAATTAAAGAAGTTATTGTAGTTTTATAGATTTGGATGAAGCGGATGCAATGTCTCATTATGTAGCAAAAATTCTAGTCCCATTATGTTGAAATTTTTTTTTTATATTTAAAAAATATTGTTAAATATTTCTTTATATTTAAAAAATTTTTTAATAATTAATTTTTTTATATTACTTGTTTTGCATTGAAATCATCTGTCCTATCATAGCAAAATTAATTCGGCTTTTGTTAGGAGAAAATTTACATAATGTGAGTGAATTATGTAAGCCTTCATTATTATCTGTAGGGTATGTATAAATGTAAATGGGAATCATTAAGATACAATAACACGTTGAACAAATATTAATTTAGAAGTCAAACAACAAAAATCAGCATTATATTTTCAAATTTTTGCAGGACTAGTTTCGATGGTTTTACCAAAGCATCATCCTCAGCTGCAAAAGCGCAAATGAATGAGATAGGATATAATGATTAGATGCCAACAGATGGCACCAGTAGCTTGTGTCTTGTTCTGGCTTTCTTACCTTATCTAATCATTATATCCTAACTCGTTCATTTGCGCTTTGCAGCTGAGGATGATGGTTCGATAAAACCATTGAAACTAGTCCTGCGAAAATTTGAAAATATAATGCTGATTTTTGTTGTTTGACTTCTAAATTTGTAAATGAGAAATTTGTAAATGAATGAGATAGGATATAATGATTAGATGGCACCAGCAGCTTGTGTCTTGTTCTGGCTTTCGTACCTTATCTAATCATTATATCCTATCTCGTTCATTTGCACTTTTGCTGCTGAGGATGATGGTTCAGTAAAACCATTGAAACTAGTTCTGCGAAAATTTGAAAATATAATGCTGATTTTTGTTGTTTGACTTCTAAATTTGTAAATGGGAATAGTTGAAAATTAATGCGCAGTTTTTGCAACTCTGACAAATGATTGGTTAGGTTTAGAAGAAATTGATGCTTATATCATCTCTAAAACATAATCTGACCATTCCAATTTTTAATTTACCTAGATATTCATATCTTTTCTGCATGATTGCAGTACCATTTTGATTTGTGGTGTTTTTATATTAATATAACAGATTATTTTGCATGTATTGTTGTTAGATTTAGAAGGGGCCTTTCGTATTTTTTCAAAATTTCATACATATTTTGTTTTTTATCCTGAGTACACATTTTTAAGCTTAACACTTGTTTTAATTTTATTTGGCTGTACTTATAATTTCCTGTTTGTTTTGCTTTTTTAAACTTTGTTACAGTACTGCATGTTATTTTCCTCTTGGTTTATGGCCCCGATTGCATGTAATTATGTAGAATTTGCTTAATAGGCAGAATTTCATCATGTGCAGATGCACGATCCCAGTATGCAAGAAGAAAGTGTTACACTACTTGGAGAAGAAGGTCTACGATCTGGTGGACAAGCATTGAAATTAGGGTAAGTTGCATTTTGATTACATTCTGTGTATTGTGATATGAATAAATGCTGTGTTGTAATATGAACAAATGCTGTGTATTATTAAGATCATAAATGTATGGGCATTTTTACATTAGAATGCCATTGTGTGATGCTTGTGATTATTCACTTAGACTTTTCCCTCCTAGCTTAAGTAGCAAAATTATTATTACTATTATTATTTTTTTTTAAGTTGGGAAAAGTATCAGTAATAAATAAATTTTTTTAATAATATTTCAATTTCTCTTCTCCCCTTTTATTTTGTTGTTGCTTAATTCTAAACTCTTTTCAGTTGATTCAAATGGATTTCATCATTTTGAGAATTTCTAAAATGATGTTATGTTAATGATGTTATGTTAAAGTTAATGAGGATTTACATGCAAAGTGCAGAATAATTGAAAAAATATGCTGTCAATTATCACTTGTCATATTTCTAAAAAAAGTTAATATCAAATTTGCTTATATCCAAATTATTAAGCTTTATTTTAATTTTAATTAAAGTATTATTCATCCTTTTAAAGTAACTACATGAATAACCTAGTGAAATTTTCAAGTAAAAACAAAATTTAATTTTTAAAATAATTTAGCTGTGCATTTTACATTATGGGCATTGATAGAACTGCGTTAAAAATCTATCTTAGAAAAGTGTCTGGTTATATTTTAAAAAAAAGTATGTAAGGTGATATTAAGTTATTTATTAATAGCAAAGATTGAGTGGAACAGATAATATCATATTTTTCAATGAACACCATTTTTTTCCTTTTTTTTTTTCCCTTTTCTTTCTTAATTTCTTTTATTCTTCATCATGTGCTGAACTTTAAAGAGTTACCTTTTCTCTCAAAAAGTAATTTTTATTTTTTAATAAGACCAGAATCTTCCCCTAAATAAAATATACCCTCGTATAAAAATCCAGTAGCAATTATTACACATTTCTCAAAATCATCAGTTGAGCAATTTTGATCACTGAGCCATCTATATACTTTCCATATATGATAAAAAGCTTCATTTCTTTCAACACCAAAATTTATTCTTTTATTTCATTTATCAATTCAAATAATTTAGTAACATGGGTTTTTTTAAAGCTTTTAAAAGAATTATTGAAGATTTCGCTAAAGCTTTGTTAAGAACATTTTGCAACTTTTACATGATTTGATACTTCTTTGTACATGATTTGATACTTAACACTTCCCAAGAATTTTTCAGATGGAAAGAGTGTCTCCAGAAATCTGGTAAATGGTGTTTAAATTATTTTCATTGTAGAGACAATTAAGTTATTTCGAAGCAGGAGAGATGAAAAATGAGGAATGCCCTCGCTGGGACTCGAACTGTGGACCTCTCGAATACACGTCAAGTGTACTGACCACTGCACTACAAAGGCATGAGAAATACCTTATAGTATGCCATGTTTTTACTGTGTTTTCCTTATTTCTGCTTGTCAACAGATGCCCAACTTGTAGCGTTTTTCCTTCACTTGACTTATAGCCATTTTTGAGTCTGAAAAACCGCTCTTACGTTTGTGATTTACACTAATAAGCCAAAACATTACCCCACATTGACCATCCCCACATTTTTCAATGAATTTGTGTGGATGTTGTGAAGAGAAATGTCCCAAAGACTCAAAACAAGTATTTCCTGCATGACTGGTAGATTGCTCACAATTTGATGCTGTTAGTATTTAAGCAAAGTGGATAAATGACCGTGAAACCAAGAGTACATGCCAATGTGTTTGATGTCCACATGTCATCAAAGAAAAAGGACGTCGGAGAGTGTTACACTTGGTATAGGGAAAGACCAAATAATGAAATCTATTATCTAATTGCATTGGCAAAAGTATAAATCATTATCTTTATAAATTTATCAAGGGTGCCCCATGTTTTTATTCCTTGTGATATAAAATTATAGATGAAGTTTATCAAAAGTATTAATCTCTTGGTCCCATGAAATTATATCGTAAATTATTGTTCTTTTAGTTTATTAACTATTTTTCTGTTTTAATAAAAGCTTATTTTATGAAAAAGAATTTTTTACATTATTTTGTTTAATTTTAAAAGAAATTTTAAAATTATTTTTAAGGGACCAAAGTTAAAAGTTAATATTTCATAAATATTTACTTTTTATCATTCTTGCTGCTTTTTTTTGAATTAAATATGGTAGAGCTTTATTTACAATTTATCCTTAATTTATTTTAGATAATAATTCATATTTATAATCTTAGTTACATATCTAGCAGTTATGCTCAGTAAGATATGGCATGGACGAAATGTTTTTTATACATTGTTATTGCCGTTTCCCCCCTTTTTTTAGTTTCCATTCTGTTCTCATACTTGATTATTTTTTCACATGTACTTTGGTAGTTCATGTGAAAATTTTATTCCATCTCTTGGTTCCCCATGGCTCTGGCAGCAACTTTCTCTCATTTACAAAAAAAAAAAAAAAAAAAAAAAAAAAAAAATTTTCTCTAGTATTCAAATATATTTTGTTAAACATATATATTTGAGCAAAATTGGACTACATCTAAGGTCATAATGGTGTCTGATAGAGATTTGTTTTGAATATTAATGAAGTCTAAAATTTTAAGAGATAGTCCAATTTAAATGTAACTTGTGCTGAGTCATTATTTATTAGATGTTCCTGATGCTAAAATGTTTTAGAGTTTGAATATTTTATTACAAATCTAATCTTATTAATTATAAATAAATTTAAAATAAAGTATGATAATTTAAATTAAAATGTTTTTTATATATTTTTTGCATTGCATTGTTTTATACTGTTTCCTAGAAATATTTTTCATAAATAAGTTTTCTTTTTTCAAAGTAAAAAGTTAAAAAGAATTGATACTGATAAAAGAAGTTTGCGTGGCTGCTACATTCAAACCAATATTGAATGAGTAGCACTAGGACATTAAAAGAAAGATATTGGTGAATTTATGGAAGAAAGGTTATTAAATACAGTCAAAATTCGTTAATTCAGACGCCCATAATCCGGACCTCAAAGCTGCAAACTTTCTGTGCATGCGTCGCATTGACCTTTACGGCTGCGAATATGCATGTGCATAATAGCATAATACGTTTACGCTTGCGTATTTAATGTATAACGGATAGTATAAGCTAAGCTAAAATTATCTAATTTAGTTAATGTTGCAGATTGCGTTGTTCCTTATTCTTCGAATTAGATCCAGCTTATCATTTTTTGCAGACTGTTAGAGCAATTTTATAAAAGTAAGCTTGAACTTTCAATTATGTCAAATAGAGTTTCTGATATATATTTAGTAATATGTAAAGGATCTACAAAGCGAAAGTATGTTTCAAAGTCCATTAAACAAAAAGTGGAATTGCTGCAAAAAATGGATAAAGTCATATCCTTTGTTTATCTAACCATTCCGAAATCTGTTTATCAATTTCACGCTGCTCTGCCGGGGGGGGGGACGTCCTGGGGCGCAATGAACTGGAAGTTGATCTGCCAGCACTATCCTTATCTTCAGGGCAGATGTTTTTATTTTATTTGGCTTATAATTCCTTACTAAATGTAGTATGTCATCTCGATGTACTCTGTCTTTGATATGATTTAAATCGAATTCCTCGTCATTATAATTTGGTTATTGAAAATGAAACAACTTACATTGAAAGAAATGTTTAATAAAGTAAACAAATAAATATTAAGCCTTTTTTTTTTTTTTTTTTTTTTTGTAAATTTTGATATTGTTTAGATCATAATTGTTCTTTATTTCATAAATTATGGTTTCATATTTTTAATTTTATAATTTTTGCATGCCATCTTACCAGATTTAAACTGATGATCTATAATCCGGAAAAAGCGATAATCTGGAATCGCCGAAGTCCCGACGAGTCCAGATTAACGACTTTTGACTGTAATATGAGTGGCACTTAAAGCTTTAGTCTTGATATTCATGCTTATATCTATATTCACCTTTGAATTTCCCCATTATTACAGAGTTTGGGTGAAATTAATGAAGCGAAGGTTATGCACTTCCCTTGTCAATTATTAATACTTTGGTTTTATTGATTATAAAATTTATTTGCTATTTTGTAATTTTGTGCCTTAGAATTGAAATAAATATACAGTGTGATTATATTTAAAATATTTATGTGTTACTAAATATTATTACTAAATATAACTGGGGAAACTAAATACATGAAATTTTTAGATTTGTTGCTGGGGTAATTTTACGAGAACGCTTACCTGCTTTCGAGCGAATGCTTTGGAGGGTCTGTCATGGCAATGTTTTTCTTCGTCAAGCCGATATAGATACTCCATTAGAAGATCCAGTGACTGTAAGTATCCTCTTCAGATGAAATATAAGTATAGGGTGTTAATTTAATAATTTAGTTTAAATTTGAAACCTTTGTAGAAACAATAAATATGTACGACACATACCTTGCCCATAGCATATTGCAAATGATATCTGTCTGGTTCATTGCATTTGTCTAGTCTTTTCTGTATATACCTATTGACATTATGAAGCTTTTTCTCACGTATACTCTGAATGACAGCAATAGTATGCATTTTAGTCTTTTCAAGGTATGTACAATAGAACCTCGAAATATGAGTTTAATTCGTTCCAGCATTGACCTCGTATAGCGAATTTTCGTATCGAAACAATTTTTGAAAAATGAAATTAGAATCCTTTACACCCCAAAATCGACAAGAAAATTTCGTATAAAACAGGGTGTGACAAAAAGATTCGGGATTTGAATCTAATGAATTCTAAAAGGTAAAAAGAAATCTCTTACCTTTTCTTTCACCCGGGAGCCGAGCTTGTTCCATTCTAATTCTTATTCGATGAAATATCTAAATAATTCCAAGCTTTTGCATAAAAACTGACACTTCTGTATAAATAAAGATATTATATTTAGATTTATACATTTTATATACAATTATTAGATTACATGAAATTACGCGCTCTCCAGCTAACAGTCAATCGAGTTCGGGATTCAGAGTTCTAACTACGTTCTTCCGTAGGATTATTCTCGAGTTTAGATGTAATGGTGCTGATAGTTCGGAGTTTAGATGTGGAGGCGCTGATAGTTCGGAGTTTAGATGTAACATCACCTCCCACCATTGAGATCCGACGATGCGGAGGAACTCAATACACACAGGTCCAGTCGATGAGGAGGCCGAACAACTCGTCCAGCTCTGGTCATCATCACTCGAGGACTTGAGGCAGGTTCTGGAATACTAGCAGCCTGATCAGCCTGACCAGTTGCATGGTCGTTTCTATCTCGAGGTGCTCTGTCGGGGAACGGAGGGCCAACGGATTCGGAAGTAGAGATCTCCAACGGGAAAAGCCGGGGCACTGGACGAAGCAGAATTCCATTTCTTGTCTTGACCCTCGCTAGTCTAACTATTCCGTCTTTACTGGGGAAAAGCTCGACTATCTTGGCTAAAGGCCAATGTATGCGTCGTCTCTGGCTGTCTTCCAATAGAACGACATCGCCTACTTGCAACTGTTGAAATTTTCCCTTCTTTATTGCCTGTTGTCTCAACTGACCAAGATATTCATTACGAAATCTGTTTCGTAGATCATGTCTTATTCTCTGTCGGTATTTGGCTCGACGGTTTAGTTCTTTGGAATCTACGTAGTCCATATCAGGAACTCCTGATGACGGCAATTCTTGCAGAAACAACATACATCATAGGGGTCAGTGGTGATGGATCTTGATTATCCTCTGATACGTATGTGATAGGTCGCGAATTAATCACTTGTTCACAGTCACATAATATAGTGTATAATTCTTCATAATTTAAGGACGTTCGACCTAACACTCTTCTTAAATTTTCTTTCACCATTCGCACAAGCCTCTCCCACCAACCTCCCCACCAAGCGGCTGTTGGAGGGTTGAACTTCCATCGTATCCTTTGGATTGAAGCAGCTGAACATATGGTGTTCCACTTAACTTTCTTAAGAACACTGTTAGTCCCTACAAAATTAGTTCCTTTGTCGGAATATATCACATAAGGTCTACCTCTTACCTCTTCTGGCAATGAATCTACGTAAAGATTGGATGAAAGTTTCTGTAGATAGAGAAGTAACTAGTTCGAGGTGAAGGGCTGTATAAATGGCACATGTATACAAGACTATCCACGCTTTAGACCCCTCACGGAGATAGAGAGGACCCGCTAGATCTACACCGACGACTTCAAAAGTCGCCCCTTCTCTGACTCGATCTTCGGGTGGAAATCCTGGCTCGACTTCCACTCTTTGTGAAACAAATCTTTTACATCTTACACATTTTCTGATAATATTTCGAATACTTTTTCTGGATTTTAATATCCAAAAGTTTTCTCTAAGATTTGTCATTAAAGTGCTGACACCAGCATGCTGGAGTTCTAGATGTTTCTCGTAAATTAGTCTCTCAACAAGAATATGTTTTGAAGGTAAAATGATAGGATATCGGAAATTTTCATTATCTTGACGCTGTAGGACGTTCGTTTTGGCTCTTAAAATTCCATTTTGGTCTACGATTGGTCTCAGCGCACGAATAGCGGGATCGTTTATGCCTGTAAATGATTCTTTCTGTACCAATCTACAAAGTGCCTTTTCAGCATTCTCCAATTCATCAACTGAGACATCAGGAGTGAGGTTTTTATCTTTGTTCTTTAAATTGTGATAAAACCTGAAAATCCAAGCGATCATTCTCACGGTTTTTCTATATGAAGAGAAGTATTTGTAGTACCGGTCCAAATTGTCTCCATGATCTAGAAGAGTCAGAATCGTTTTCCTTTTTTTCTTGTTTTAAGTTCTTCATCAGGCTTTTCTTCTACATGGGGCCACTCGTCTTCTGGTAAGTAAAGCCACGATGGGCCCTCCCACCATGCCGATTTCTGTAATTGCTCAATAGTACATCCTCTCGATGGGAGATCCGCTGGGTTTAAACTTCCAGGTACATGCCTCCAGTCAGATATTCTGGTAAGCGATCTTATTTCTTGTACTCGATTGTGAACAAACGTACCCCATGCTTGATCCCTTCTTATCCACCCCAAAGCTGTAGAAGAATCACTCCAGAACACTGTTCTACAATTCTTAAGTTTCAAATCTGATAGAATTGTTTTGGCAAGCCTGGCACCTATCAGACAGGAAAGAAGTTCAAGCCGTGGAATCGTAAGTTCCTTAATAGGGGCTATTCGACTTCTCGCGCTTACTAACTGAACCTTTACACCTTCGATGGTTTCAGCTCTTAAAAATGCACATGTGGCATAGGCTCTTTTACTTGTATCCAAAAAAAAACGTGGAGCACTACGGTATCTTCGTTTTCGTAATCAATATTTAACCAACGAGGAATTTCAATCTGAGATAGCAGAGGCAATTGGTTCAACCAAGTCCCAAACTGCTCACTTAGGGGAAGAGGAAGATCTTCATCCCACTTAATCTTCTGGTTCCATGTTTCTTGCAAAATTAGCTTAGGAATTACAGTTATCGGTGCAGTAAAGCCAATGGGATCAAAAATTTTCTGGGTAATTGACAAAACTTTTCTTTTGGTAATAGGTTCCCTCAAGTTAAATGTTTCTTCGATCTTGCAACTCAAACTATCTTTTTCTAAATCCCATACTAATCCTAATACTGGGACAACTTTCGTCTTGCTCTCTATCTCATCGATCATGTCAATGCGAAAATTTGATCGCCAACATCTCAAATTGAAATGCCCTGAAGCCAAAATCAATCTTGCTTCTTGAACGAAATTTTCAGCTTCATCTACGTGATTTAAGCTAATTAACGAATTATCGAGGTAAAATGAATCCTTCAAAATATTAGAAGTTTCTACAAACTTTTCTGGGACTGTAGTCAAAAGGTGACTAAGTGTAGCGGCTAGCAGAAACGGACTTGATGTGAGTCCAAAAACAACTCGGTTATGTCTGTAAATTTTAAACTTATGTTGATTATCGAACCATAGAAACCTTAAAAAAATCTCTATCCTTTTCTGCTATTTTGATTTGACAAAAGGCCTTTTCGATGTCAGATGACACTCCTATGAGATATTTTCGAAAACGATTCAATATACGTGGAATAATTTCTATTAAATTTGGTCCTTTACTCAAACAATCATTGAGAGAGAGGGTGAATTCTTAGAACGTGCAGATGCATTGAAAACAGGCCGTATCTTTGTAGTTTCACTAGACTCTTTTATTACAGGTCTGTGTGACAAGTAGTGCACTCCTTCCTCCTTTTCCTCAGTTACTACCTCAATAATGTCCTTCGCTTCCCACTCATCAAATATTTCTTCGTAATCTTTTCTTCTGCGTGTGTTAATTAGTTTACTTTCGGTTTTGACGAGGTGTCTTTCTGCCATAGTACGGTTACTGGATAAGACGGATTTATCTAAAATAAAGGGTAAGGTTACTTCATATCTCCCTGAGCTATCTCTCGTTTTACACTTTTTAAGAAATGTTTTCGAGTTTCTTCTTCCAAGACACTTTTCGTTTTGTTTTCCTCACTTGAAATCCCCAAGGTGTCTAAACGCCAAAGATTGGACAAATTTGTATCGGAAACATGTAAGGATAAAGAAAGAACGGACAGGGAACTCGACGTATTCGCATTCTCTTTAATCTTGCCCATTAAAGTCCAGCCTAACTTGGTCTCAAAGGCTACGTAATCCCCCGCAAAATGTTCAATTCTTTCAGTGAACAATTGTGCTGCGGTGTCCGCTCCTAACAGCATATGAATCTCTTCCGGATTTTCTTGAAACAGACAGAGATTTCCATTCACATGATTGTCGTTGATAAGGATTCCCCTTTTTTCCATTACTTTAATTAATTTTTCGTCTTTGATCTTAGGTAGTGACGAACAAATTTTCCTCTGGTCTAGTGCTTCGATTTTACACCTGTACTTTCCATCCAAACTAGTTAAATCTATTTGATAACGATTATGATCTTCCGAAACTTCTACACCCCCCAAATAACCCATGTTTAATTCTTTCAGTTCCTATCTTTTCTAATTTCAACGTTTTAGCAGCATATTGACTTATGTACGTGTTCTGACTTCCGGTGTCTATTAGCAATCTTAAATAACCCTTTAAGGTTTTCCCAGCTACCCCTACGACCAAAGTTTGTAAATAAATAAACTTCAGAACGGTTTGCTTTGATTCGAAAGTACTTTATTTTCAACTTCCTGGACAGTTTTGATCGTTCCCTTTTTACTCTCGGAATCAATTCTATTGCACATAATCGTACTAGAATGCTTAGAGTAACAATGGGAGCAAAAAATGTTAGAATCACAAAATTTGCTGATGTGACCCTTATTTTGTAAACACCTAAAACAAGTGCCATTTCAACCTTT